TACTTCCGGTCATAAATATTATGTGCTTTTTTTGGATGACTATTCGAATTTTCTGTGGACTTTTCCAATTTCACATAAATCTCAAGTTTTTCCAACCTTTGAAAAATTAAGAGCATATATTAAAACTCAATTTCAACTGGAAGTTAAAAATATTCAGTGCGATAATGGTAGAGAATATGTCAATAGTAACTTTCAAAAACTTTGTGAAGCAAATGGAATTTCATTTCGTTTCTCATGCCCTCATACTTCATCTCAAAATGGAAAAGCTGAACGAAAAATCCGTTCTATTAATAATATAGTTCGGACTTTACTCATTCATGCATCTTTACCTCCAAGTTTTTGGCACCATGCCTTACAAATGGCAACTTATTTGTTGAACATTTTACCAAATAAAAAGTTGAATTATCAATCACCTCTCAAAATCCTTTTTCAAAAGCATCCATCCTACTCTCATCTACGTGTATTCGGTTGTTTATGTTACCCTCTTTTTCCATCCACTACTATAAATAAACTCCAGTCTCGATCCACCCCATGTGTTTTTTTTAGGATATCCTTCCAATCATCGCGGGTACAAATGTTATGATTTATCACAAAATAAAATCATCCTTTGTCGCCATGTCATATTTGATGAATCGGAATTTCCCTTCTCTAAACTACACACTACTAATCCGGAAAATTATCAATTTCTTGATAATGAATTATCACCTTACATCATAAATCACCTCATCACTCAACCTGACCCATATCCAATGACACCGACCCACATCACTCAGCAACAGTCTCAAACCCATGACCAATCAGAACCGGCCCAAACTACCTCTCAATTGGCCCAAACTTTGCCATCCACATCTACTCCGCCAAATATCCCACTTCCTCCCATTTACCAACCTACCCTTAATTCTAACAACAAACCAGTTACGAGGAGCCAACATGGCATTTTTAAACCAAACCAAAAATACATCAATCTCCACACCGAAGTTACAAAATCTCCTCTCCCTCGTAACCCAGTGTTAGCACTAAAAGACCTAAATTGGAAAATGGCTATGGATGATGAATACAATGCTCTTATTCAAAATAAGACGTGGGATTTAGTGCCCCGTCCACCTGATGCAAATGTTATTCGTTCTATGTGGATTTTTAGGCATAAAGAAAAATCTGATGGTTCTTTTGAGAGGCATAAAGCCCGACTTGTAGGTAACGGTGCAGGTCAACAGGTTGGCATAGATTGTGGGGAGACCTTCAGTCCGGTTGTTAAACCAACCACCATCCGAACAGTACTCAGTCTTTCCTTATCTAAAGCATGGAAAATTCATCAGTTAGACGTCAAGAATGCTTTTCTACATGGTGAACTCAAAGAAACAGTGTATATGCATCAACCTTTGGGCTTTAAGGATCCAAATCATCCTCATCATGTCTGCCGTCTGCGAAAATCTTTGTATGGGCTAAAGCAAGCTCCAAGAGCTTGGTACAAACGATTTGCAGATTATGTATATTCTATCGGGTTTTCTCAAAGCAAGTCAGACAACTCTCTTTTCATCTACCGGAAAGATACACACATGGCCTATCTTCTTCTTTATGTGGACGACATCATTCTCACCGCTTCTTCTGATGATCTTCGCAAGTCTATAATATCACGACTCAGCTCTGAATTTGCTATGAAAGACTTGGGACCACTCCATTATTTTTTGGGTATTGCAGTTACTCGACATAATGGTGGTCTGTTCTTATCTCAGAAAAAGTATGCAGATGAAATTCTTGAGCGAGCAGGCATGTCATCATGCAAATCATGTCCCACTCCGGTTGACACTAAACCGAAGCTTAGCGCCAAGACTAGCACTCCCTATGAAGACCCATCATTATACCGTAGCCTTGCTGGTGCTCTCCAATACCTCACTTTCACGAGACCCGACATCACATATGCGGTACAACAAATATGTCTTTTTATGCATGACCCCATGGAAGATCACATGCACTCTCTCCGACGAATTTTGCGTTACATTCAGGGAACTAGTCACTACGGTTTACATCTCTATCCATCATCCACTACATCTTTGATTTCTTACACAGATGCTGACTGGGGAGGATGTCCCGACACTAGACGCTCTACTTCAGGCTATTGTGTTTTTCTTGGAGACAACTTATTATCATGGTCGTCTAAACGACAACCCACACTCTCCCGATCCAGTGCTGAAGCTGAATATCGTGGAGTTGCCAATGTCGTCTCTGAGTCATGCTGGTTACGTAACCTACTCCTCGAGCTACATTATCCGATACACAAAGCTACTATGGTATACTGTGATAACGTAAGTGCCATATATCTTTCTGGTAATCCTGTTCAACATCAACGTACAAAACATATTGAGATGGACATTCACTTTGTACGTGAAAAAGTAGCTCGCGGACAGATACGCGTCTTGCATGTTCCATCGCGCTATCAAATTGCGGATATTTTCACCAAGGGTCTTCCCCTAATACTATTTCAAGATTTCCGAGACAGTTTAAGCGTACGTCAACCTCCCGCTTCAACTGCGGGGGTGTGACAGAACATATCTATATTTGGAACAAATATTGTACACTAATGAGATATAAAGTCAAAGAATATTTACATTGATTAGGCATAATTAGTTTCCTATTATGCAGATTGTAATTCTTGTATATAATACATGTTCATGATCAATAAAAAGCAGGGAAAAACATTTTCTTATAAAAACTTCCTCATGAACATTGCACAAAGAATATGACAGAAAATGTATATCAACATTCAAAATATGTATTTACTTTCGACGAGATTGAAAGTACACCGAGCTGGATAAAGGAAATGTAGAAGTTATCTGATGAGACAGATGAGAGGATGTCGGACTTAGAAGAAAGATGAACAATAATGGAGAAAAAATTATTGTTTTTGCTAAAATATTTGAAATGAGGGAGGATTCTTTTCGAGGTAAATGAAAGTTTTTGTTTTCCAAGTTAAGGGATGGTATAGTCTGGGCGATACTGTAGTGTGTTTTCCGCCAACTGTCCAAAAAGATGTAGGTGATTGATTAAAAATGTATCGTTTAATCAATTACTAAAAAAAGTCAAATTTTAGTATAAACTAAATAATGATTGAAGGGTAGTTTCGAAAATGCTTATGCATGTCCCAATCTTAATTAATTGATTCAAATAATTTTAATATTTTTAATATTTTATATTAATCTAATGCATTCATTTATTAATAACATAATTTATATATTTTATCTTTAAAATTATGATGATTATCACGTTTAACAATGACACGTGTGCTTGAAAAATAAAGACATTATTAAATAAATAAAATGTAAATTGAAAAATGTAGAAAAATAAACTAAAATTATTAAAATTTAAAATAAAATATGTATTTCCTTAAATGGTTAAAAACACAAATTAAAATTGTAACTAAACCAGCATTCATTATAAAAAAATAATTTTTTAGAGAAGTAAAATTGTGACGTGATAATTACGTCAATACATAATTTTAATAATAAAATATAAAATTAACGTTAACACATGAGAAATTAGATAATATTTTATAAAAAAAAATATGAAGTGATTCTCACATCGTAATCTATTCAATAAAATATAAAATTTAAAAAATTAACGTGCACATGATAAAAAAATTTAAAATTTTCAAATATTTGTGACGTAAATATCACGTTGCAACATTTTAAGAGAAAAAAAAAATCTAACATAATTTAAGTGAATGCAAATGAATGTAATATCATAAAAAATTTATGACTGTTAAAAAATATGTCGTGAAATTAGTTAACAAGATTTTAAGAAAACTAAAATTATTAGAATTTAAAATAAAATATCTAATTCTATAAATTAGTTAAAATTAAAATTAATATTGTAATTAAATCAACTTTTTATTAGTCTTAAGTAAACAATTAAGTACAAAATTTAAAAATTAAAAATAAAATATCGCAATGAGTTAAAATTGAAATTAAACTAATTATTATTTTTTTGTAAATTTAATTAATATATATCATTATAATTTTTATAAATTTAATTAATATATATTGATTATATAAAAAAAAATTTACACTGTCAATTAATAAAAATCATTAAATTTGTGTTAAATTTTAAAATTTGTATTAAAATTTGATTTTTATTTTAATTTATTTATAAAATAACATTTATGGATAGTTGTAATACATAGTGAATTTGAGTAAAAAGTTTCCAGTGTAAGAAGTTTTATATAGCAATTAATTTATTTATTTTTATATTTAGTGTTATTTAAACATCTAGAATTTGATACCGTATGTTTCACACAAAATTCATTATTTTAACTGCATATTTGACACAAATAAAGAGAAATAACGAATCAAAAAAATTTGTACCCGCAGTATAAACGTAACGTTGAAACTTAAAGTGGTGTCAAAATATATAACCAATTTTCAGAACAATAATTTATAAACGATTTTAAACAAAAGTCCATCATTCAAATAAACTAATTCAAAACATATATCAAATCAAAATGACCACGTTATCTTATAATAAAAGTACTAAAATTATGTAACTTAGAAACAAACTTGGTCCATAAGTTGGAAGCATCCTGGTAAATGTATCAAATTGGAAATAATTCATATTATCAGCCACAAACAGTGTTGACCGTTGAATATGTATTCCACACGCGTGTCTAAAAAAGACAACTTTATGAATACTTTCCGTTGATTTAGCAAATCCATTTGCATGTGTTGATAATCTTTCTTTAACCAATTGATGTCGACAATATTAACTTTCTTTTGCATGGCTTTCACACTCTTTGCTCAACAAGGAACTCTACTAGATTAGGAACAAGAACTAGTCAAGCAAAATATACAAAACATGGAATTTCAATTTCCAACCACGTCCTTGTCCAATGGCACTGGCACAACGTTAATGGTAGCGACACGTTACTTTATAATCCATTGCACTGTAACGTGTTTGCCATGTTCAAACATGTGTGAAACGTAGCAATTTTTCCAAACACTGCCTTTGCACTATTTCATCAAATCCCAACGATGCTCTTGATCATCCGAGTCATCGTTACCATCATGCGGTTCAGATTTCACATCAGATCCTCGATCATGTTCATGAGAGGATTGTGTTTGCATCTGCATTTGCATTTGATGGTGATCATGTTCATGAGAGGATTGTGTTTCAATCTGCATTTGCATTGGCATTTGATACTGTTCCCGTTCCTCTCTCTCCGGTTCAGCCTCACACTCTATCCTACATCGTTTAAGCCCAATAGAAACCCCAAACAGTTTAGGATTTTGAGCCCCATGCCCATTCTCAGGTTCAGCCAAATTTGCTGTCTCACACGATGCACCAGATGTACCACCTGCAACACCAGCCAAAATCGCGGTCTCAGCACCACCACCAGCACCACCCACATTAACAGCCACAGCCTCCTCAACTAATGAAACATTCCTTGTATGCAACAGATCCAACGCTTTCCCTCCTTCAGTTACAAGGACAGCCCGTGCCGTTGCGGCGCTAGTCGATGATTCTAACTGTCGACTAAAACCAGAAGCATAATTACTCATCATAGATAATATACTATTACAAAGACCTTTCAATTGACATAACTCGTTACTCAGTTGCATATTCTCTTTCTTAAGCCTTTCATTCTCTTCAAATAACTCGGGCGAAGTAGTGTAACTTGTACTACGGTGCACTGTAGTACTATTGTGCGCCACAATAGGAGACGAGTTCGATGAAACCACCTGTTCATCACCGGAAGTTGTTGGAGACACTATTCTAACCGGTGCCGCCATAGCTACCGTCACAACATTAGTCGCCGCGGCTACCGTTGTAGTCACAGTCGTAGTCACAATCGGCGTACCTGCCGCCGACAATATTTTCCGCCGCTGTATATCACGGAGTAGATTCTTCTCACCTCGTCGGAAACCGTCGTTTGCAAATTCCCAACGATCCGGCACAACTTTCCGAAATCCCTAGAAACGAAACAAAAAAATTACCAACAGTTTAGAAAACGAAAATCCTAAAAAATTATAAAAAATAATAATAAAAAAATAAAAATAAATAAAATCAGATAAAGAAAGTTAGTTACATATGTATTAAGCTGACGAACGAAACTGGAGAAGTTGTTATGTTTGAAATACTTCGGTAACAAATCTCTTGCGAATTCAGCAGGTAACCAAACGATGAAGCTTGTGCCATCTTCGTTCCATGAAATTAAATCATCCACAGAAGGATCATCCACAAGTTGATACGTTTTGGTCAGAAACGGCGTCGGAATAGATCTCTGCAATTCCGTCGTCGGTGATTCACCTGTTTGCTCCACCGGTAATGCCGCCATCAAGTCCGTTTCCAGATCTGTGCCCAAACGCCTAAATCATAACCGTCTCTTGATCAAAACTATAAACTATATAATATATATTTATACTATCCTAAGAGTATAAATACGGTTAAAAAGACAAAATAAAACTATAGTAGTATTAATTAAGGGAAATAACTATATGCGTTACCTTGAAAGAGATGGAGTGCGTTGAACGGAAAAGAAGAAACCAGCGGCAACGGCGGTTGAGAAAGGGATGGGTTAGCGTTTGTTTATACTTTCTAGAAGTTTCTAGGGAGAGAGTTTTTAAATTAGATAGGATAGGAATAAAAAAGGAGCGTGAGTATCCGTGCGTTGGAGAATGAAAGGGAAATGAGAAGAAAAAACTTTTTTTTTAAAAAGTGAAAAAAGGAAGAGTGGGGTCCACGGAGAACAATATAAGAAGGCGCTAGAAGGAATGGATGGGTGGAGAGATAAGAAATGTGACTTGTGAGTTGTGTGAGTGTGTGACTCGGCGGAGGTGTGATCGGGCCGTTGATTTGTCCGGATTAGGTTTGAGCCGTTGGTTTTGTGATCCACTTTTCCAGAACCTTCCTTCTCCTTTGGGTTTTATTTTTTATGTTTTTTTTCACTTATACTCGTATATTAGGGTTTTTTTTATTTGTCCAACGTAAAACGTTATCACGCACTTTCTGATTAACACGTGTTCCAATGTTTATGACGATAGCGACCCACATCATATTCTATCCAGTTCTAAATATGTAATGGCATTTCAGCTGGATGGATAAGAAAAACAAACTATTTGAGATGAAACTAAAAGTTTTGTTGGTAATCTGTTTAAAAATTAAAATATATAAATTGTTCAAGAAAAGAATGAATTATTTCTCAATTATCTACTGTCTATATATATATATATATATATATATATATATATATATATATATATATATATATATATATATATATATATATATATATATATATATATATATATATATATATATATATATATATATATATATATATATATATATATATATATATATATATATATATATATATATATATATATATATATATATGATTTATTTTAAAAATGTGCTGCAATATTTTTGGCTAATTCAACTTTATAAAATAAGTATAATAAAGTGAGAATATTTAAAATGTCATCCCTGCAGTTATATCCGGTGCTTTTGAAAAAAAATTAAAATAGTTAAATTCAAATTTTTCACTATTTCACGAAATTTTTAATAAAAAATTAAATTTTTTTGAAATTTTAAGGTGTTATTAGAGATTTGTAGACGATGTCATAAATTCACATAAAAATAAGAATTTATGTTGTATTTGGGAAATTTTCGGGAGAAATTTACGAAAATTTCAGTATCTCTAAGATTTTTTACTTGAAATTTTGAAATTTCTAATTCAAAACTTTTTGAAAAATTCATGAAATTTTGAAATTTTCAGTAGTTTATTTTTTAACTATTTTTTTCTTTTTTTATTTTTTCAAGGAGGATCAGGGGTAAGGACGATTTTATTGGGGACATGTTGAATGATAGAGCAAAAATTTAGGCCAGGGCTGATAAGGCAGAGGCTTCCCAGTTACGAGTTAGACGACATCCTCTGATCGATCCTCATTGGAAAATGATGTCTGAGCAGGCGCAATTCTGCGCACCCTGACGCCGAGGTGGTAGAGATTATGTGGTTATTGCTGTTGAGGAGGTACCTGCTCTTGTGGTTGTTGTTGTAGAGGTACTTGTGCCTATGGCTTATGAGGTACATATACCCGTTGTGGCTTAGGAGGTACAAGTACCCGTTGTGGCTGAGGAGGTTGTTGTGGATGAGGTGTCTGTGGAGAAGGTAGTTGTTAAGAAGGTTATTGTGGCGGCTGAGTAGGTTGACAGGTTTGTGCTCACAGAGTATGTTGATCATGTTGCGTGCAGAGTATGGCAGAGCGAGGTATATAAGTTATATTTTTTTTATTTCAAATTATTTATTATGGCTCGATCAAGTGTTGAAAATTTATTGATACTTTTATAAATTTGTTTCTTACAGGAGCATCCTACGCTAAAGGTCGCATCCCATGATTCGAAGTTGAAGAACTTCCCAGAGGGTCCAATACCTGAGCAGGTCAGACATATTGTTTTTATTTTAGTCTACTGGAGTTCGCCGAGTGCTCACTGACCATTCTCAAAGCCTCCCTCCTGTCAGCTTTTGTTGAGTGGTGGCATCCGAACACACCATTTTTTCATCTTCCATTTATGGAGATGATTATCACATTGGATGATGTCTCCTCATTGTTTCATCTTTCCATCGATTGTACATTCTTCACAAGTCCTTATATTAACCAGACGATGGCGCTTATATAGGTAGTACATGAGTTGGAGGTCAGTGAAGTTGTGGTGCTTGAGGAGTTTGGCTTTAGTAGAGGATTTCACCTTTGGATGTCTTGGTTGAGGAAAAGGTATGAGGAACACGTGACAGCAGAGAGGTGTGAGGTTGTTGCTAGGGCGTACATGATACATCTAATGGCATGTACTCTCTTTGCAGATAAGTCTGATGTTTATATTGATGTTTAATATTGATTGTTATGCATCACAATCAATATTAAACATTCTAGTATGAGATGGTAATGGTGGTGTTGACCATGTTGTACATGACACTTGGAGTTACTTTCTAGTCTGAGATCAGACAACTAGTTGGTTATTTGAGTTTATTACATGTACACTAGCATTTCTTTGTTGGTTTTTATTTATTTATTTTATTCCATTAGTTATTTATTGGATGGCATATTAATCAAATTTAATTATTTAGTGCTGGATATACGAGCATTTCCCCCACATCTATGATAGGAGACAATAGCGTTTCTAGCGAGTGCTCTACGGACGAGGAGATGGAAGGACAGTCAAGCAGTTCATGGTGGTGTTGTGGAGTACAGAATGAGGCTTGACGCTCTGACAGTAGATGATGTCGTATGAACACCATATATAGCTCATCAGGCCTATCGCCCATTTGATGATGTTTCCTTGTATTCAGGGCATATGAGGTGGGAGAACCACGTGGCTAGACATTTGCTTGAGAGATGTCTGCGACGGTATGGTTATATTTAGGGCATTCCTCGTCCAGCTCTAAAGGTTTCACCTTGTGGCATTAACAAATTGTTTCAGAGTCATATCATCAGTTCTACTCGTGACATCAGGGATATCGCAGTTATGATTCAGTACCCTTCACAATGTGATGATGGTTACTTTTAGGGGTATTGATCGTCAAAATAGCAAGTGTACTATTTTGCCAATATAGTAATAATGGGAAAACCTAAACTATCAATCTCAAGGAATGCATATAATTATCGAGTTCAATTCACGTTTAATTAAACAAAAACTATCTGATTGGTTTGGTTTAAGGTTTATCCTTCACAATTATAAATAAGCAAAATGTAATTTATGACTATTTTATACTAGTATGAGAATGTTATGCTATGGGAAACTGTATGATTTGTCATATAACGACATTTACTTTGATTTCTTCAACAAGTTCATCTTACTCCATTACCAGTTCTTAAGATTATTTTTCCCTAAGTCCTTAAAGAAAAACCTTTAACCATTTATACTAATCCCAAGCTCCCTCAAAATTAGTGATAAAGTCAAGTGTTAAATTAACAAGAATTTTTCCGGTTATTATAGTTTATCCCTAGGCCTAGGTGATATCTACTATAATATAATTATTCAACAACCTCTTAACACGATTGTCCAGCTCTAATGTGTTAAGAACAGTGTAACCCTAGTGGTCCGACAGGGCAAACAATAAAGTAATCTGAACAATATAATGGATGAGAAAAACTATTGTACTGATGAAAACAAAGGATTCAATATCGTTACATAGACAAATCAGGGACACCCCCTAGCATTGGGGGGTTTAGCCGCTTATAGTATTCAAAAGAAAAGAAATGATAAAATTAGACATTACACAAAAGATGGATTCTTCGATCTTCAATTGCTATCGCTCATGAAGGGATCTTCGTTCCAAAGCTCTTGAAAAACATCCCAATTCTCTCGTACCAGTCTCCTGTAAAAAAAGTCTCGTCTAGGTCGTCAAAATTGTCTCAAAAAAGTTTTTAAAAGTCCGAAAAGTCTAAAACGCCCTTTCGTGGGTCACACTTAAGGAAATATAAACAAAATCATAAATCATTAGCGCACAGACCAACACGGCCCATGTCAGGTGACACAGGTGGCCGTATTGGTCACCAATCAACATTCAAAAACTTCAACTCCCATGATGGCTTACATGGTTCGTGTCACTTGACACGGGCGCCCGTGTTGAGAATATGGTTTTTTTGTCCTTTGATTCATTCCTCTTCCTGACATGGCCCGTGTCAAGTGACACGGGCAGCCGTGTCAGACTTGTTATAACTTGCTGCAAATTTCTTTAAAAACTCCCGATTTCTTAACTTTTTGCATCCTCAGTCCCTTGGATCTTTCATGTGCACCTGAAACCGTAGAAATAACCAATTGAAGCATAAAATAGGAAATAACTTGAAATAAACTTACGAAAACATAAAATGCGGAAAAACTTAAGAAATATGAAATCATTCAAAGAGAAGTAAAATACAACACAAAATGATGCAGAATACCTGGATTATCATCATACAAGTAATAAAAATATGATGAAAATGGTGACCGATCACAACCACAAACTTAGCTCGTTGCTTGTCCTCAAGCAATATTCAGGACAAATAGAATCGAACACCCCAAACTATCAACTTACCACAATACCACCTTGATCTTTCATGATTCTCTTTTCACTTTCCTTTCAACGCTTCCTTCTTCCCCAACTTTTTATGTTCCGCTACACTTCCACATCGGAGTATCTCTTTACGTGTTAGCTTTTTACACTCTCACCAAATCTCTCGGGTTAAAGTATTTACACTAAATAATTAAAGTATTCAAATTCAACTCATAAGCTTGAATAACATTTATCTTCATCTCATACACATACTTTTTAGGGCTTTTACGGGGCTTAGGGAC